TTGCTGGCCAGAGCTACCTTTGAGGATCTGGAACCTTCAGGAGTGTATTTTTTTATTCCACATTATATAGCATATGAGTGTTTGAGTCTAAGCAAGGACCTCCCTCAACTACTGCTTTCCAGTTGGGTCAGATGGTTCATACCTCACATTCAACCCACTAACCATACCTTAAGCAAATATATCCTTCAGCTCCTCAGTCACATATTAATAATTATTCCTTACTCTGTACTAGGTGGTTTTTAAATCCTTCAAAATCACCATGTCAATTTGAGAATAATGTTAAATTTAATATAATTTGTAGGACATTTGACAGGGGTGAAGAGTGAAAGAACAGGGTGGGAGAATTTTACAATGTGAATGTAAATAAATTCATCTTTTTCTTTAGCATAATCAGGTCCTACTTAAAGTGTTTAAAAAGAAACAATCTACTTTTAAATTTGAATATTATATATTTCAATCTCTGCAAATCTATATATTAAAATATAATCAAAAACCAGTGGAATTAATATCATAAAATGGCTATTATATGGATGGTTTTATTCACTTTAGGGTAAATGGTATCTCAGGGTTAATGGAAGTGAGAATGGCAGTAATGGAATCCATATAACCATTGCGGTTATTTAAAGAAAAGCTTCAAAATTTACTTTTTTTCCTGAATTCACAAAATAGAAGAAGCTTTTCCATAACACAGAAGAATAGGAAAAAAAAATGACTGTGCATGAAACTGCAAATCTATTATGTACAACTTGCTATTCCCTTTAAATATATAAAGTTATCATGTAATGTTTTCCCCCTTTTTTGACATTCCCCCACCCTAGAGATGGCTATCATCAGACACACACACACATACGTAAAACTATTCTATTCATACTTCTATTTATCAGTTCTTTTTCTGGAGGCAGACACCATCTTCCTTCATATGTCTGTTGTAGTTAATTTGGGTATTATGATAGTCAAAATGACTTAGTCACTGAAAGGTGTTCTTAGAACAATATTGCTTTAACTGTATACATGTTCTCTTGGTTCTGCTCATTTCACTCTTCATTATTTCATGCAAATCTTTCCATGTTTTTCTAAAATCAACCCGCTCATCTTTTTTTTTTGGCTAGGCAATGGGGTTAAGTGACTTGCCAAGGGTCACACAGCTAGTAAGTACTATGTGTCTGAGGCCGAATTTGAACTCAGGTATGCCTGACTCCAGGGCCAGTGCTCTATCCACTGTGCCACCTAGCTGCCCCTCCCCCCCTTCATCATTTCTTACAGCACAATAGTATTCCATCACAACCATACACCACAACTTGTTTACCCATTCCCCAATTGATGAGTATCCACACAATTTCCAGTTCTTTGCCACCACAAAGAGAGCTGCTGTAAATATTTTAGAACATATAGGTTCTTTTCTTTTCCCCCCAGTCATCTTTGCAAACAGACTTAGCAGTGGTATTGTTGGGTCAATGGGTACAGGCAGTTTAATAACTCTTTGAGTATAATTCCAGATTGCTCTTCAATTGTTCCAGTTAATTGAGAATTGAAAAGAAATTCTTCTTTATCTCTATGTCTAGGGACTCCTTTTATACTTTGTGACCTACATAAATCTGTGTTAAATCTAATGAGAAGCAATAAAAATAAAAATTAAGAAATGACAAATTTAAGAGTAGCAACATTTCAAATTTAACTTGAAAATAACTCAAGTTGGACCCTGGTTTAAGATATACAGAAAACAGAGCAATACATATCTCATTTGTAGATCACTATATTCAAATTTAACCATTCATAATATAAAATTTGGAATCAAGAAAAAAAAAGTTTGTGAACAGTCAGATTTCCAGATTTGTACAAAATTCTTGAACTTTTTTTTTGGGAAAGTGGGGGTATGATGGGATGGAGGGAAAAAGGTATTCCAAATCTGTGATTTAAATAGCTAGGGAGTTTCTGGTAAGGAAATTCTACTAAGTGCAGATCAAGTCAAATTAACTAACATTAACTGCCTACTATGTGCCAGGCATATAAAGAAAGGGAAAAAATAAGACAAAAACAGTCCCTGACCTCAAGGAGCTTATGCAAAGGAGACAACATGAAAACAGCTATGTACAAACAAGATATATAGAGGATAAACTGGACACAGTCTCAAAGGGATGGCACTAAGATTAAAAAGGAATGGGAAAGGCTTTTTAGGGAAGACTTGAAGGAAACCAGGGAGGGAAGGAGGCAGGTTTCACTCCTGCCTCCCTATGTTCCAGACATAGGGAAATAACTAGTGAAAACCTAGGAACTGGGAGATGGAGTGTCATGTGTCAGGAACAGCAAATAAGCTAGAGTCACTGGATCACATCATTAATGAAGGGGAATACGGTATAAGAAATCTGAAAAGACAAGGAGGAAAGTTGTAAAAAGTTTTAAAGGAGGAAAGTTGTGAAAGGTTTTAAAAGCTAAAATACAATTTTCTATTTTTTTCCTTGAGGACATAGGAAGCCACTGGACTTTACGGAATAGGGGGATGATATAGTCAGATGTATGCTTTTAGAAATTCAATTTGACACCTGAGTGGAGGATGGATTGAAGTGGAAAGGGACTTGAGGCAAGGAGCCCAACCAGGAGGCTACTGCAGTAGTCCAGCAGTCAAGTGATAAAGGCCTACAGGATAGGACATGACAACTAATATGATAATGGGGTGGAGAGTTAGAGGAAAGACAGAGCCCAGGATAACGCCCAAGTTTCAAACCGGGAAGGTGGTGGTGTCCTCCATAATAAAAGGGAAATTAGAAAAAGGAGAATGTTTGAGGTAGGGAGGAAGATAATGAATTGTACATGTTGAGTTTAACACTGAAGGTCAAGAGAGAGGTTAGGACTCAACAAACAGATCTCACACTCATTGCCATGGAAACAATCACTGCAAACCTAGAGCTGATGAGATAACCAAATGAAAATAGTATAAAAGGGAAATGAGAAGAGGGCCTAAGACAAAGCCTTGGGGAACCTCCAAGATCTGGATTTCTGAAAATCCAGGAGACAGAAAAGACTCAATCAAATAGGCGGGAGGAGAATCGGGATACAGCAGTGTCATAAAAACCTACAAAACAGAGAGTAGCAAAGAGAAAAAGATCAACAGTGTTGCAAAAAGGTCAAGAGGGAAAAGGATTGAGATAGTATTGAAGATTAGCAACATTACTGCAATGTATAGGCCTCAGTGTTGCCCAGGGGCAGTAAGAGGTTAAGTGACTTGTCAGTTACAGATTCAGTAGGTGCTCAGACCCACTGCTTATACCCAAGTTTTCTATCCACTAAATCATGCTGCCTTTCTCATCTGCTTTACTTAAAGAAAATTCCTTCAAGCCTTTTCCCAGTGCCTATTTACTTTTAATTCAGGCACAGTTCTACGAAGTTTGGTCATCTGATTTTTCCAGGCCACAAGCAGAAGGGAAGCAACAAATTAGACTGGAATTATGAGAGTGAAGAGATTGCTGTAGAGACAGGGACAAGAAATGACAACAGCTAGTCTTCAAGCAATAGAGGGATAAAACTAAGAGACTAAAAATAGAATTCAGAAAGTATGGGGTCTGGGGATAAATCAGTAAGGAATCAAACATCTTACAGAATTCAATAGTACCTAGGAACATAAGTGTTCTACAGCAAAGCACAATGAAATCATGTTCACAATAATGACCATGAGCAATCCTTACAGGGATGTATATATTTTATAAAAACATATAAAATAATCAAAATAAAATGCAAAAATGATTTTGATGATTAAGATAGAAAGCTTTGATTAAGTTATCTGAAATACTGAGATATACAGAACAGCTCATTTCTTAGTTCAGCATGAATAAGGTATTACAGTACATGTAAACAGACCTCTGGCCTCCCATTTTGTATACTTAATGGGACCTTTGTTTTAGAGGGGCCCACTAATTTTGGAAGACCTCAAAACCCTCATTATTCCACGACTAACAGTAGCCTAACTTTTTTTTTTTTGTGGTGGAAATATAAAAAACAGTTCAAGTTTCTCAGAAGTACCTACTCCAGGGGAAAACAAAAACCTATACTATATTTTAAGGCCCAGAACTGAAGTTGCACTATTAGTAGTGGCAAGAGGTAATTCACTTCCACAGCTGATTCCCATCCCTACCACCATCTAACCAAATAATGAATTCAGTAATAAAATAACCCAATCATTGCTACCTCAAAAAGAATTTCGATAACTGCACTGTGGCCTGCCAAGTAGTATTTTGGTGCTGGCTGCCTGGAACAATTTCTATAAAAAGAGTGAAAGTAAATTGGCAAAGTGAGGAAACTGAGGTCCAGGATGAAAGTGATTTGCTCAAAGTCACACAGCTACTTGGTCAGAGGCAGAACTGTTTTTCCATAGGGGGACAACTATCAAAAACAGTTTTAGTTACTTCATCAGGTTTTACATTCTGTCAAAGAATCACGAAACAAACAGCTTAGTTTTCCTAGATGAATGAAGTTTTTGCCCAAGTATGCTTCAGTTTAAAAACTATCTATATTTAAAAAACTCAGGTCTCCCATAGGGAATTTAGCACTTTCCCTTTGACACTCTTTATGTATAGAATGATGTGAACAATGAATATGGCATAAAGGTAGGAGAGAAAAAGGGGAAGGAGAAGTATTTCCTTCCTCTGTATGAATGCAAATATAATTTGGTTATATTCCATTTGATTAATCAATAATCAATCACATCTGTCTGATCTGCATAAGGGATTTTTCATAAATGAACTTATATTTACTTACCATGTTTAATGTTATATGAAGTATAACTGGCTTTTAAGAATGTTAGAGTTATGCTGTGGTTACAGTCCAAAATGCCTATATTACCTTTAAAATCTGTTTTTTATTGAATATTTAAACCTCAAAAAGAGAAAAAAATGACAAATGTACTAGTTTCTTGGTCACTTATTTTTAAAAAAAAATTACAACAAACATGTAAATCACATTAACAAAGAATATTGTACGAAATCAAAAACTCCATAATGCAAATTCACCTTTTTGCAGATTTTTTCAAAGTTGATATCATCGTCAAGAGCAGATTTAGTTACTTCATCAGGCTTTACTTCCTGTGAAAGAATCATAAAAGTTTATTTTTTCTAGCTGAATTGAGTTTTTGCCATAAGTAGGGCTCAGTTTAAAAACTACCAGTATTTTAAAAACAAACAAAAAACCCTCCATACTCAAACCTCTATTTTTTGTGTGTGAACAGACAAACCAGTATATAAATTATGGGGGTACTAATTCATATCACAATAAGATTCTTCACAATGCTAAGGGAAACACCTATAAGATTCTTTAAACTTAATTTTCTAGTACAGTTAAAATGATTTAATTTATAATGTTGTTTTAAGTCAAGGAACACCAAGAACACTATCTATAGAATCAAAATTACAGATAATTCAAAGGAAAATGGAGAGATACTTGGTGGGTAAACTGCAGATTATGAAAAATGGCTTGCATTTAGAGTCACTGTGAAAGATATTATATCAAGGAAAAGGAGGTGTTTCAGCTATTACCCATGAAATGTTAAAAATATTTAAGAGAAGTGCCCTAGCCCACTGGTCATATACTCAATGAAGAATTTATGGGAAGACATAGACAAATATTATATGTCATAAGAAGACATGGAAGAATTAGAATCTGTTCAGGGCAAAAGAATAATCACTACAAGGACATTAGGGATCCAAGGAAATATCCAAGAAATAGATTCACAGAAATTTCATATACATACAACTTTTTGGGAAGATTATCTTTGTCAATAAAAAGATACACTTCTAAAGAAAAGTTGAATTTACATCATTAGATACAAATATTTGTTCTGTTTGAAAAATGATCTACAAAAATTTTAACTGCTCAGGAATATTACCACACGCTTTTTTTTCATGCCTCAAGATTATTTTTTAATATGCAATATTTAAGAAAAGATTCATGAAAAGATTGTGCATCATGAAAAGATTGTGCAGCATATTCTTATCAAATACTCTAGAATAAGTCTTCTGAATCTTTTGGCTCTATTATATAAATATGAAAAGATCTTATGTGTGTCAGGAAATCAACACTGAGCTACAAAAAAATTGTAGAACTATAGATGGAAAGAGAGAGAGCAAGAGGGGGGGAGAGAGAAAAAGAGAGAGAGAGAGAGAGAGAAAGCGAGAATACACAGTATTATACAGTAAAATTTTGGGGGGGAATGAGGATTTCTTTACATAAAGTTGAACTTGCATGAAGTGAGAACTGTCTATAGTTCCTTTCTCTCTTTTAAGATGCACCATGGAGGCACCATAAAGCCCTTCCTGATCCAACCAACATTTCTTCCAAAAATTCCTAGTATTTAACTATTTAGTATTTTGTGTTTGTTTATATACACACACATATATACACATATATAACACATATAAACACATATGTATTTATGATTGTTTCATTCTTTGTACTTAAATACCTAGGAGCGCCTAGCACAGTGGCTAGAATATAGGAAGTGCTTAATAAATATTTTTTGATAAATATTTGTTTTCCAAGGTCACAAATACCATAGCTGGGATAAAAACCAGATTCCACATATCCAAATCTAGTTTTCCCCATTACATCATGCTGCTTCTTTTAGAGAGAAAATTGAAGCTCAAAGGAGTGCAATGACTTATCCAAAGCCGTGCAATGACTTATCCAAAGCCAAGCGCACACACACACACACACACACACACACACACACACACACACACACATCTATATATGTATGTCTGTATGTGCATATTTGCATACCTAGTTCATGGTAGTTAGGTCCAAAAGCCACACTCCAAGGCAAGTGTTCCTACTGCTAATCCATGCTGAGAGTTCATTGATTAAAAAAATTTTCTTCATATCCAGGCTACATATTCTTTTCCTTTCTATATTGTGTCTGTATTTCCTTGCATAACTGAATTCAATTTAGCTCAAGACATGACACTATGATAGAATTTTTTTTTTATTTTGGTAAACTTTAAAAAGGTTAAAAGAAATCCATATTAAAGGCAAAAATAATCTTTATAAACTTTTTAATGGGCACCTTCAGAAGCTGAAAATTTTAAAATTAAATTAAAAATTTTTAAAGTTAAAATCAGAGAATTTTAGAGTTGGCAGAGGCTAGGCATCGTCTACTCCAACCCCCTCATTTTATAAATGAGGAAATGGAATCCTGGAGAAATTAAGGGACTTATATAAAGCCCCATAGCAATGTAGCCAAAACTCTTAGAATCCAGATCTTAGAATCCAGACTCATACACACATGACTCATAGTCCATTGTTATTTTCCTAATGTACCATATTGTGAATGCCAATGATAATTACTATAGTACTGAACTCCTTTTAATTCAGTCATACCCCTTTATTAAATAAGCAGATTCATAAAGAATGATCTTGTCTCTCAACTACGGTATAATTCATTTGTTTGTATGAGAAACTACACTGATAGTATAAAGGAACCAAATAAGCAATGGACTTGAAGTCAGGAAATTTGGATTTGAAATCAGGTTTTGCCACTTATTACTGCCCCAATATCCTTTTAGGTTTCTGTTTCCTCAAAAGCAAAACAAAGGGGTTGGTCTCAATAATCTCTATAAAACTTCTAACATTCCATAATTTAACAAATATAAATGTGTCTATCTAATTCCCTAAGGGTCTCTGTTTCAATTTCCTCAAATTATCAAGTATCAAACAGTCTAAACATTGATTCTGTGTGTCAGGACCAAAAATTCTTTATGATGTAAAGCTCTAATATGTCATTTTTCAAGGAGGGCACTGAAAACTACTTGGAGGTTGTACATACTGGGCAGTTTAGATTCTAAGATTATACAAGTAGTATACAAGCATACAATTCTTGTTACTTAGTGAAATAATTGAAACAGTCCATATGAAGTGGTTTTGTACTTTCTAAACTATAATATGGATTAGATTCATTCTAAGTGGTCTAGCCATAGGTTCCAAGGTATCATAAGGGGCCAAGAAAAATCTGGTTGCTTGGAATTTTCTTGGCTTAAATGGCTGGAAAAGACATGAGAAATAGATTTCCCTGAAATGAAGAATCTGAAGTAGCAGTAACTCAGGAGATAGCTATTGTGATCCAAAACTTTGTGATATATTCTGTACCCGGGAATCTCATTATGGTTTCTCTTCAGTAAGAACAAAAATTCCATTTCTAAAAAACTGGTCTACCAGATGGGACTTCAATAAAGTTGTTTTCTCATAAAAATGCCAAAGGATTTTCCAAATAAAAGATTATATGATTTCTTGAACCAATTTTTAAAAGAGTTTATAATTTTATATTTTCTAGTTTAAATTTCACAAATTTAAGGTTGGGATTCAAATTTCAATTTTGCATTTGAATATAAAAATAGTGATATAAACGACTAAAGACTTAACATTCATATAACATTAAGGATTGTTGCACATAAAGGTTTTGTTTTTTTTAACCATTTACTGGATTTGAAACTCAGGTAAGTAAGAGTTCTATCATAAAAAGGCAAAGTAACTTCATACTTGAGCCACAGATGTGGTGCTACATCATTTGTGTCAAAAAGCATAACGAAATTTAAATTTATGTTGTATCAATATATCTTTAATATTGACTAATGTCCTGTTCTGATGGACCCAGGAAGAACTGCATACCTGATCCTGGAGGATCAGCCTAGGCAGACTAAGACAGAAGCCCCTCACTTTTTAGACACAGCAACTCTAATTAAGCCATAGATGGGGTGCTCTCTCTGAAGTATTCCCACATTACTCACTGTGTATTTGTTATTATGTACACCTCCTGGCTTATAATATGAATTAGGCAATAAAGATTTTGCTCTCTTCCGACAAGACACTTGAATTATGTCAAAGGTTAACATCTAGAATGTCAATGTCTATCAACCAGCATATTGCAATGAACAAAGTAGATACTTAAAGCCTGATTGTTGAGTAAATCACTGAAATGAAATGCCATTTACAACGTGAACCTTTCAATCCCCTGGAATAAAGTTTTGATTACTTTATAGTTAAATATTTTAATAAATAAAAACCTGAATATTTCATAAATATGTTGAATGAAATTAATGTTTCAGATGAATAAGCTGACAGCAAAAGGCTGATGGTACTTTTTCAAAGGCAGGAGTTTTCTTTCTAAAAATGACATTTAATCAGATAGTTTTATGACATTAATCTTCCGTACACAAAACACTTCTCATTTCAAGAATTACAAAGAAATAAAGCCTCTTAATTTCTACTGAGTTTTTTTACTGATAGGTAAATTTCATTCATAAAATTCTTTTTCTTGCAAACATTTCTACTATCTTCTCATTCAAAAGAAAGTAGGCAAGCAACAAAGCAGTGGCAAATTCTGAAAGCAGAATTGTTTTTTAAAAATTTATTTTATTTTTAATTTATGGGATAAAACAGGCATTTCCATAACAGTATAATAAAAAAGATGAATGCACATGAAACTGCAAATCTATTAAGTACAACTTGCTATTTCTTTTAAATATATAATAAAGTAGATGGTGAAATAAAGGCAGGGACTCACTTGAGCTCTCCTCCAAAACCCTACAAATACCTTTAAAAAATAATTCTAAACAAATTCTAGAGCAGCAGAACCCATAAAAAGATGGAGTGAAACAAATTTCCTGCCCAAGACAACTTGGAAGGTCAACAGGAAAGATCTGTTGCACCAGGCTGAGAAAGGAGTGCAGTTCAGTGCAGACTAGGCCCCAGCACGCCAGAGCAGACCTCAGGGCTACTGAATTGCTGGCAGTAGTGGGGGGACCTTTCAGCCCACAGACACCAGGGACAACTTAGAAGATCAGCAGGAAGGATTTGTTTTACTAGAGTGGGAGTGGAGTGCAATTCAGTGCAGGCCCCACCAGCACAGCCCAGTCCTAGCAGGTCAGGAGCAGGCCTTGGGAGTGACTGAATCAGCAAAGTCAGTGGCAGGAGCTGCTTCCGAGGCTCCTAGCACTCAGACAATAAAGGGGTAGAACAACTGGTCAGAAGGACATTATAGGGGTCTGTTTGTTAGCATTGAGACAGGACTCTGTTGCTTTGCCCATACTCAGAA